CAGAAAGGGCCACATAAACCAGAGACTTCATCAGCCTGAGACCAGAAGAACTAGATGGTGCCTGGCTACCACAATGACTGCCCTGACAGGGAACAAAACAGAGAGTCCCTGATGGAGCAGGAGAAAAGTGGGGTGCAGAACTCAACTTCTAGTAAAAAGACCAGACTTAATGGTCTAACTGAGACTGGAGGGACCCCAGAAGACATGGCCCCCCAACTCTCTGTTAACCCAGAACTGAAACCATTCCCGAAGCCAACTCTTCAGACAAAGAACAGACTGGACTATAAGACATAAAATGATACTCGTGAAGAGTGTGCTTCTTAGACCAAGTAGATACACAGACTAAATGGGCAGCTCCTGTCCGGAGGCAAGATGAGAAGGCAGAAAGGGATAGGAGCTGGTTTAATAGACATGGGAAATTGGGGGTGGAAGGAGGAGTGTGCTGTCACATTACAGGGAATGCAACTAGGGTAACATAACAGTGTGTGTATAAATGTTTGTATGAGAAACTAACTTGAGCTGTAAACTTTCACCTAAAGGAAGGGAGGGAGGGAGGAAGGAAGGAAGGAAGAAAAGCAAGTATTGGGTAATGAATATCTTTACACCTTAAATAATTGATAAGTTACTTTATAACTAAATAACTAATATTTAAAGAATACTGCTAAAATGCTAAGGGCACTGAAAGATAACAAACGGCAAGACCAAGAAATAAACAGGCAGTGAGTGCTACGGCTGCTAACCAAAACGTCAGCAGTTCGAATCCACCAGGCACTCCTTGGAAACTCTATGGGGCTGTTCTACTCTGTCCTATAGGGTTGGTATGAGTCAGAATGGACTCAACGGCAACGGGTTTTGGTTTTATGATATAAAGGATTACTATCCATAATATATACAGAGTTCTGACTAATTAATAAAGAAAACAACACAACTGGAAAATTTGCAAAGATATAAAGAGGTAATTAGCAAAACAATTACAAATGGACAATAAAGTTATGTAAAGATGTTCAATCTCTCTGGTAATCAGGAAAATGCAAAGTAAAAAAGACATTCAGTATCATTTTTCACTATTAGTATACAAAATATGAAAATAACTGATGATATTATTGGCAAGGGTATGATACAAAGGCACATTCACAGTTATTATATATAAACCGGTTAGACTTAATGGACAACAGAGCAGTGTATACAGTATTAAAAACTGCACTGTGCCTTTCCATGTCTAAGAATCTATTTCATAGAAAAACTTCTACATGTATTTGTGAAGGTATACGTACACAAGAAAGTTCACTGAAACATTATTTGTAGTATAAAAAAAAGAAAACAATTTAAATGTTCAAAAATACCAAAAAAACCCCAAACCCACTGCCGTGGAGTGGATTCCGAATCATAGCAACCCTATACAACAGAGCAGAACTGCCCCATTGGGTTTCCAAGGCTATAATCTTTATCATATCTTTCTTTCATGCAGTGGTTGGTGGGTTTGAACCTCCAACCTTTTGGTTAGCAGTCGAGCTTAACCACTGTGCCACCAGGGCTCTGTTACAAAACAGACATGGCTAAATAAAGTATGGTAGATTTATAACATGCAGTCCTTAAAATGAAGGAAGTTGAACTACCATATTTTTACACAAATAACGCTGTGCCTTCTGCGTTTGTTTGCCACCCCCACCACAAGGTATTTTCGTAAGCGTGCAGTGCTAATTTTTTTTTATAGCAACATGTGGAAAAGGATTGGCATGGCAGCGGCACTTGTGAGAGTGCCTCAGGGGAAGGGCACAGCCAGCAAACAAAAGCAGAAGGGCATGTTATTTGCATAAAAATACAGTATATGTACTAATCTGAACAGATGTCTGAAAAACTGCTAAATGAAAGACCACACAATATGATAAATACCATTTGTGGATGGAAACAAAACCAAAAATCCAACCTTATGTGTTTCTACATATGTATATAAATATACAGAAAATAAGTATGGAAAGATAAACAGACCAAGCCGTTCCCAGTAGTTATTTCTGGGAAAAGGGAGTAGAACTTTCACTTTTTACTGTGGTGACTACTTGAATTTTTGTTTTTCAACAATCAGAATGCATTTATTACTTGTGTAATCTTAGAAAGCAATACAACAAAAATTTAGATTAAAAGGAGAATAAATAAAAAATCTATAAACTTACTCAACTTTTCACCCAGGATATGAAGAATTTCTAGCACCAGCCAATGGATATCTAAGTGGAGATGTAATAGGTGCCATGATGGTGCAAAGAGCTGTGAACGACATTATAAACTGAGAGTGAGATTCATAATAATTTACTAGGTATCCTATAGCACGGCACAACACTCTTCCATAAGCACAAGCATAAAGAAACAATCTGCCACTACTCAAAAGTTCAGGGAAAACCTGTCTGGTTCATTAGAGGATTCTTCCCCTGGAGATACTTGAAAGCAAGATATTTTTTCATCTGTTGGTTTAAGACAGACCTACCTGCTGAATAGACTTGTATAGTAAAAGTCCTTCCAACCATCCTCTGATTCTACTAAAGCTGCAAGGCAGCAGATGAATTTTTTAAAACATTTATTTTCATGATTTAGCTAAAAAATATATATATACATATATATATTGAGTTTAATAAGTTCCAGGAACTTCTTTAAATAATTTTAATGAGAACTTTACTTAGACTACCATATACTAAACACTCATATACTTCATTCGGGCCCTGGTGGAACAGTGGTTAAGCGCTCAGCTGCTAACCAAAAGGTCGGCTGTTCGAATCCACTAGCTGCTCCTTGGAAACCCTACGGGGCAGTTCTACTCTGTCCTATAGGGTTGCTATGAGTTGGAATTGACTTGACAGCAACAGGTTTGGTTTTTGGTTTTATATACTTCATTATAACCCCACAAAGTAGACACTATTCTCTTTCCCATTAAGAAACTGAAGTTAAGAAAGGTGAAGATTTTTACCTCTCAATTCAAGCATTAGGATTCAAACCCAAGTCTATTTGACTAAAGAGCCAGTGCTTTTAACTACTGTGCTGTACTGGGTTATCAAACCTTCTTCTAGTCAACATTTGGCATCATTATAAAAAAAATACAATGACACACCATGTTCTGTTAAAACAACTAAGAATAATGATGGAGAGGGGACTTGCCTTATCAGATATGCAAACAAAATAGAGTAGTTTTGGCACAGGAATATATAATAAACAGCAAGAATAGGAAAGAAAGAAATAAAGGTAGTATCTCAAATTAGTAGAGAAAGGGTCATTCAATAAAAGACAGGAATCTATTTGCAAGAAAATAAAGTTAGATTTCCCACCTCAAAGCATATTGCAAAAAGAGATTGAAGAGATAAATATAAAAAATAAAAATATGTAATAACAGCATAGAGAACACACAAAAGAAAAAAAGACAAATATAACTATATAAAACACTTAAATCATCTACTTGGCAATTCAGTTTAAATGGTGAAAAAGAAATGATAAATAGAAGAAAATATGTGTAATGCCTAATAACCAACAAATAATATCTCTAACAAAAAAGTTATTAAAAATTAAGACAGATGCTCAACTGAAACTACCAATTAAAACTAGACTTTTCATATATAAGCTTGGTAAAATATAATAAACATATAAAGTATTCAAAGGTGCTTTTTATTTTGTGGTGCTTTTTATTTCGCAAGATGTTTGCTTGTTTCAGGAAAAAACAGTATTTTAGTGTGTGGTTTTGTTTATTTATTGAAGATTATAAATTCCCCTGCTTTAAAAATTCAGTGTTTTGATCTTCAAATAACCTATCTTTTTAAGTCTGCCTAATTAAAGGGTCTACGAAAGGCAAAGCCCAGTACGAGGACCCTTGCACACATTATTTCTGCTGATAAATTATTTATTTTTATTTTCTTATGTATTTGGTGGATATCCAGAATAAAAATCAGTCTAATTTACAGAGGCTAGAAGGGAAAAGGAAAAATATTTCTTCCTCCACAATCTACCCATGGATCTTTATTAAATGACATGGATTAAAAACAATTATATACTGGCTTTCTATGGATTAGACATATTAGTGTGTGAATTCAATTATTATTATATATATTGACCCCTGATAAGAAGAATCACGTGTTTTATTTCTTGTTAAATTTCACAGAAATATATAAACATCTAATTGTACCTTACATTTTGACAAAGACAGGTTCCTAACATCTGAACATTATTCAAAACAGTGACGTCAAACATAATGGAAGGAACTGTGAGTTAAGGTAATATTATGGTGAATTATTATAATTCGTCATTTTTTATGTAAGTTGGCATTTTCATACAAAGAATTTGTTAATTTTATCTATAAACTATGCCAACACTACAAATTTTTAAAAACCAAACTTTGAGGGAATGATTACCACAGGTATGACCAAAAAAAAAAGGCATAGTCAAAACAATCCTAATCACATTCCACAAGGGTCTCAAAAGTCAGAATAGGCATGATGTGGTTTTAAAAATGTCTTTTTTACAAGAGGGTCTTTTCGAATCTTTCTATAATATAAACCAGAGCTTGCCCAACCCTTACCAATGAGGAAGATGATAGAAACTTTAGAAAATAAAGGTTACTGTACTGGCTTTGAAACTTTTAAACAATTATACTATCATGATCTGGAAAAGAAAAGAGCTAAAATTGATTCTAAGTACGCTATGCATACTTATTTAATTCTCCCAGCAACTCTATGGAGTTATATCAGTTATATGGATAGGAAGACTGAAGCACAGAGATGGTATTTGTCCAAAGGCACACAATTAATAATAGAGGGAGCCAGAATTCAACTCAGGTAGACTAGTTCTAAAGCTGCATTCTTGACTAATTTCCCTCATTCTTGAATAAATATTCCTTGTGGGGAGAAAAAGCAATAATTTAAAAAGCAAATAAAACATGTCAAACCTTAATCTGGTTTTGCTTTACAAATGCTCCTATATTAACACTGGGAAGTTCAGACAGATGTCCAACATACAAGAGCAATCCATGAAGCTCATCAACCAGCACTGAGGGAAGCTGAGCCTCTAGAGCCTCATAGGGATGGACAGGAATATGACCCTTAGCATCTTGTACTTTCAGGTACCTAAAAAACAATTAGATACAATAATCAACCACAGTCTGGGTAAAAATACAGTTAGAAATTCATGCAATAAAACACTCAGTGGACATCCTACCTGAAGATGAAAACTTTAATATAATGAAGAAATATTACACACTGTTGCCTAATATTGTCTGCTTTGCAGTGCAGGACTGATACCTGACCTAAAACCAAAATAGACAATGTTAATCATAGCTTAAATAATTAATCAGTAGACAGTGACAAAAAAACTTTGTAAGTCATATCAGCAGCAATTGTCCCTCGTGCATCTTTTCTAACCGATTCTCATCTGGCTCCTGTTCCTACCACTCCACAAAAAGTGCTCTTATTAAGGTCACCAGTGAAACTCATGTTGCCCAATCTAATGGATACTACCTATCCTCAAGTAACTTGACCTTGCAGTGCCACTGGTAACACTTGGCTTCACTGATACCACATATTGCCTGGATTCTTTCCTCCTCACTTGTCCTTTCTCCTACCTCTCCTTTATGGGCTCCTCCTCCTCAAATCCACTACATGGAATCTCCTCAGGACTCAGTCCTGAGCCCCCTCCTCTCTATACCTCTCTTCTTACAGGTATGATAATTATGACTCCAAAAGACTTATCTATATCCAAGACCTCTCCTTTACACTCCAAATCTTGCATGTCAAATCGCCTGACATTTATACTTGGATGGCTCAGATGATAAAATAACACACCTTCCATTTCTCCCAAAACCTGTTCTCACTGCCCATGTTTTCTCTATTTCATTAAATGATGTCACCAGGTGCCTATATGTCATTCTTGATTCTATTTCCTTTAACTTCATACCTAATCCATCAGAGTCCTAATAAACTTATGCCCAAAATATACTTTGAAATGATACATTTTCTCTAAGTAGGCCCTATAATCTCTTGCTTGAACTACTGCAACAGGGTTCGTAAAAGGTCTCCCCACTTCCTTATTTGCCCTTCTATAAACTAAGTATATGATCTGCTTAAGATGTATATCAATTCCTGTCACTCCCCTGTCAAAACCTATGAAAGGCTATCTATTGCATTTACAATAAAATCAAAACTCTTTATAGACTATAAGGCCATGAATGACCTTTTTTTCCCCCTGACCAAAAGGTCGGCAGTTGGAATTCACCGGCCTTATCAATTTAAAAAAAAACTGTTGCTGGGGTGTCAATTTGGACTCATAGCAACCCTATAGGACAGAGTAGAACTGCCCCATAGAATGAATGACCTATTAATAGTTCCTGTCTCCCTCCCAACCTCATCACATGCCACCTTCCCCTCATTTCCTTCAATGTTTATTTCAGCAAAAAATATCTGGGTAACTACTATGTGAAAAATACTGATAACCATTCTAGGGAAAATAAGAGAAAATCACCAAACAGTAGCAGAGCAAACATGATGAAAATCATAAGCAACAAATTCTCATCCCTACTAAACATAAAGCAAACTCATTTCTAAATTGCAATTCAAATGAGCAAACACTGCCACTTCTCTCGCAAAACCAAAGGAGTATAAGTGTGAAGGTGTTGTACAAACACCTACATATTAAATATTGCATTTTTATAGTCTTTTCCAAAGCAATGATATTCAACTCTTTTAACCCTTGCTTTTTTTTTCCGGTATTTAATTCCATCTAAGTAATTTAATTAAACTGTTATTTCCTGACCTTTTTCCTGCCATATTTAGATACTATTTATTGACCTCTGGTATGGAATAGAAGCAGCCTTGGTGACGCCATAGTTAAGCATTCAGCTGCTAACCGAAAGATGGATGGTTCAAACCCATCCAGTGGCTCTGTGGGAGAAAGGACTGATGATCTGCTTCTGTAAAGATTACAGCCTACAAAACACTATGGGGCAGTTCTACTCTGTCACATGGGGTTGCTATGAGTTTAAACTGGCTCGACAGAACCTAACAACAGCAACAGTATGGAATTGAAGCCAATGTTGTTATTGTTATGTTATTAGGTGCCATCGAGTCAGTTCCAACTCATAGAGACCCCGTGTACAACAGAATGAAACACTACCCAGTCCAGTGCCATCCTCATAATCGTTGTTATATTTGAGCCCATTGTTGCAGCCACTGTGTCAATCCATGTCATTGAGGGTCTTCCTCTTTTTCGCTGACCCTCTAAGCCAACAGTGGAGACAAAATGGAATCATTAAATAAAATGCTGAAGGCAAACATTTTTTTAGGACACCAAAAGCTCAGATCATAAAAGAAAAAAAAAAGTAAATTCAACTTTATCAAACTCCTGGTCATCAAAAGACACTGTTAAAAAATAAATAGACTAGCCATAATCTGTGAGAAAATATAAACAATAAACATCTAACAAACCACTCAATTACTGAATATATAAAGAACATCTACAATTCAATAAAAAGACAAGTAATCATTTTTAAAAAATAGGTAAAAGACTTCAACACATACATCACAAAAGAATACTACTGACTACCAAACAAGTGGAAAGGTCCTTATCATTAGTCATCATAGAAATGATACAGTAAAACGAAAAAGACTGATAATAAAAAATATTAGAGAGCAATGTGGAATTGTAACCTGATAATCTGACAAAACCTTATGTCCACAAAAATCCTTCTACGAGAATGTTCTTAGCAGGTTTATTTATAATTGGCAAAAACTGGAAACAACCAAAACGTCCATCAATAGATAAGTGGACAAAACTTTGTGGTATGTTCATAAAATGGAACATTATTCAGCAAATAAAGGAACAGACTACTGATAGACAAAATAATATGGAATAATTGCAAAAACATTATATCAAGTGAAAAAAGCCAAATACAAAATGTACACCCTGTATATACTATATACTGTAGCAGATCAGCGGTTGCTTCAGTGAATGGGGAGGAGAGAGCTTGAAGGAACTTTCTGAGATGATAGAAATGTCCTGTGCCTTGACAGCGGTATTTTGATAGGGGTGCGTCTTATACAAGTATATGAATTTGTCAAAACTGATGAAAGTTACTTAAGAGTTATGCACCTCACTAAGTGAACAAAATTTAAAAAAATTTAACTGACTTCCTCGAACCTTTCTCAGAAAGTTGCTGAAGGACGTGCTCCTCTGAAGTGAAAAAGTCAACAATGAAAGAGGAATACATGGAATCCAAAGCAGGAATCTGTCAAAGGAGAGAGGCACAGGGAAATGGCACAATAATTGTGAAGGAAAATCCCAGTTTGGTTAAGTGTGCAGCAAACCTAGGAATCTAACAGTCCACATTAGAACAGGACGTGGAAAAAAATGTTTCCAAGGTAAAAAATCCAACAGATAGACTACCTGACACGTTTGGTATTAAAAGTAGTTTTATATCTCTGACAGTGTTTTATGAATAAATTAACGATAGGCATATAAAAGAACACAGGAAGTGAAAATGAGAAACAATGATTAACTCCACAAAAAACAAAAGGACAGTATTTACACTGTCATATTAATGTCAACACTAAATGTTTATTTAATCATATATAACCAAAGTATCCTATTACAAGGATAGAGGAGAGAAAATGTTTGTGAGGTGGTAATGAGAGTCAAATTCTTCTATTTCAGACTAGAAGTCAATAAAAATTATCTAAATATGGAGGGAAAAAATGTCAGGGGTCAGTAAATAACAATTTAATCAAATTACGTAGAAAGATGGAATTAAACACCTGAAGAAACCGCTAAGGGTTAAAAGAGTTGAAAGCTATTGCTTTGAGAGCGCAGTCAGGAGACTGCTATTTTCTTTATAGGCCTTGTAATTAGGTTCGATTTCTTAAATTATGTACATGTATCACCACTGAAAAACATAAAAATTGATGAAAGAAAAGATTTACACACTCTAAACATCTGCACTATTTGCATAATAACTAATACACATGTAACCTTCCTACAATAGTTAAAATATGAAATGTTCTTTTATATTTCCTCAAGATGTAATATAAAGAAAATTAAGTACAGTCTGCTCCCAATGTCAACCCTAAGAAATGGTAATACCAACAGCTGTATTATATAAGAACAGATACAAGCAAAACATGGATGTATGTTATTCTGTCACAACCGGAAAGCAATTCTGGGACCTTAATGAACAGGAGAACAAGAAACATATACACTGGCAGTAAGTAACCCTACATAAGGGCTTTCTGGGGAAGACTGAGAGGCAAAGCTAGCTACACAAGTGTGTTAACAAAGCACTGATGCAGTTGTGTAGCAGGGGCAGGCTGATCTAGGGATAATCTTTAATACTGCTAACCTGTCCAATGAATCTGTCATTAAAAGCTTTTTTAAGCAACAAAAACAGCCAAAACTTCAGTGTAACAAATAACCATTTTAACAAACAGTCCACTGTAGTGGCTGTAGGTCAATACACTTTTCAAGGAATAATCTTCCATAATAAATGCCGTCATGAATCCAATTTACTTCAACCACTCTACATAGTAAAGATATTGTTTGCTATTTCCACTATAACTTTTAGAAGCTCCCTCAAGGTTTTCAAAATAAAATTCAAACTCTTCGCCATGATTTACAAAGGCAATTGTGATTTCATCCCTTCCAAATTCATCACTCACACACGGATCCAAACATACATAATACTCCCAGCTCCCTGAATTTTAATGATTTTACACATCTAATGTCTTTGCCCATACACTTGTTTCTGCCTAGAACTCCTCCTGTCCCCACTCTCTCCCTAGCTAACTCCTCCCCCTCCTTGAAGACCCAGAACTGTCATCACTTAGTGATGGGCACACAGAAAAATGCAGCCATCTTTGGCTCCCATAGCTCTTGTACATGCCTCTACCACTGCCTTTTTCCATTTATCATGCTGTACTATGCTTGTATGTCCATCTGTCCTACTCAACTGCAAACTCTTCAGCAGCATATTTTTCCTCTTTGATTCCACAGCACCTTACCAAGAACCTGGCACGAGGCAGGGATACACTGGGTGATTATGAAACATTAATACTTAACATTTACTGAGCACATACTGAAAAAACAAAACAAAACAAACAAAACCGGCCCCAACAGATAGCCAACAGCTAGGCCATGATGTTTCCTGCTGAAAATAAACAATTTTCATAAAATATTAAAAATTATCAGACAGGGTCACTCTGTCATAATGGTGAAACAAGACAAAAAAAACAGGCCTCTCTGCAATCCCATCTGAACACAGAAACAAGGCACTATGCAATCACACAAAAAAGGAAGCACTCTGCTCTTCCAGCTAATGTGACAATTGCTTCTTTACTAATGATAACCCTACTCTCCCTTTGTTTATCCCACTTCTTTAATAAAAATTAACATACCAAATCAAGTTGCTCCTGCTTCTAACGGCATCCAATCCACAACAAAGTCCTAGCCTCTTTAAACCCTCCCCCAAATCAGCCAGCACAACCCAAACCCTGTAACAAGCCCCTCCCTATCTTCTCTTACTGACAGACCCTATCTGTTGCTCATGATGTGTGCAACTTGTTAGGTAAGTTAATATACCTAAGTGTTTGACCAAGAGTGTGTTCCTGGTTGTCTTTGATTCCTAGACATTACTAATCATAGACATCAGACTCAGCACTTAACATACATTATGTCATTTAATCCTCACAAGAACTCAGTGAGGTGGGAAATACTACCTGTGTGAGACACACAAATATCAAGCGCCATGATCTGAAATACTACACTGTACCAAAACTGCAGGAAAGGAGAAGCAGCTTGTCTGCACTAAAACATACTGTCCTTCAATTCTCTTCACTACCTTAACTACACTAATCTCCAAAAAATCAATAACCCATTAAATGTCAAAAGCAAACAAACAGAAACAGGAAGATCAAGATAGCATGAGGTCTAGCACTTTTTATTTCTCCTTTAAGTTCTCCATCCCACTCTTCATCCCCAAAGTAACTACTAATTCACTTGACGAAGTTTAGCCTTACGATCTACAGATTTGGAAAAATACTATAAATCTCAGCTACAACAAAATTTAAATGTCATACTTTTTCTGAACACTAAATACACTGTATCATGAACTTCTCACCTAACACTTCCTCTATGCTATTCATGAGATCGCAATTCAGGCGTCATGGACCTGTATACAATTCACTGTAATGGAGCAGCATTCCTTTTTGCCATTAAGCACAGTTTAAACTTACCAAAATCACAGTTGGCTTGTAATAAGGTTTCCAAGTTGTATAGTTGTTGCCTAATTTAAAAAATATAAGGTAAGAGTTAATATACCATAGTTTAAAGCATGTAACAATCATATGGTTAATGTTCCCAAATGTATTACATAGCTTTAATGCCTCTCATTTGTGAATGACATTTAATATTTACTGAATATTTATTGAAGGGTCAGCTTTGAGTAGTGAAGACGTTGAAAGAAGAGAAAATTCACCTCTGTCTCACTTTCCAAAACTGTGTATTAAAAGCTGCATATAGCTTCGAAATAATTTTAAAACATCATAGATTTCACTATCAATGAGGTACTGTTTACATCTTCAAATTTAAAATACTTATATAAAACACCCTAGGTTAACAGTTAAAATGAAATGTTAAATTATATCATAAAGTAATACAGTAATTCAGAAAAGGAATAGAATAATGTGGACTGGAGTTATCAGCCAAAGCTACTGATGATGTTCCAGCTTAATTCCTGATAGCAGTCTTCTCTTGCCATTCTTCCCAGTTGCCCTTCCACTCCTCAAAGACTGATTCATATTCACAACCTATGTCCTGGATAAAGACTCATTCATTCTGTAGTATATACGAGCCTGTTCTCCCAATAGCACAGTAGTTGCAACATGACATAGACACAGTCATATCTCTTCTCAAGGTCTCATGGGAGGAGAGCAGGAGCTATCCTTCCAACCTTCCACTATCATTTAAATGTACCATATATATTCTAATGTGGTTTTGGATAATAATTTGCCCTCAACAAGTGACTCTATTTCAAAATGTCAGCTAAAATCTAAATATGGACTGGTTTTAAATGATTAAAAAAAATACATTTGATTTTGTTAATGGGACAATGGCATAAAAACCAAAACCTGTTGCCGTCAAGTCGATTCCGACTCATAGCAACCCTATAGGGCAGAACAGAACGGACTCAAAGGGCTTCCAAGGAGCGACTTGTGGATTCAAACTGCTGACCTTTTGGTTAGCAGCCGAGTTCTTAACTACTATGCTACCAGGACTCCAATAATGGCACACCAGGACTCCAATAATGGCATAGTGTTTATATAAAAAAGAGTCCATGTTTTTAACAAATGTGTGCTGAAGTATTTAAGGGTGAGATGATATAATGCCTGGAATCTTCTTTAAAATAGTTAAGCCAAAAGAAGAAGGAAGGAATAGATGAAAATGTGATAAAACCCTGATAAATGTTTATTGTAACGGAGGGATGGGTATGTGGTGGTGCATTAGACTATTTTCTCTACTTTCGTGTGTCTGAAAATTTACATTCAAAATTTTTTTACATGCTCTTCAAATAGAAAATGAATCATATTTCTATTACACAGTCTGAAATAATATTTGGAAAAGATTGTTTAAAGACTATGGCTATTTAACAGCAAAAGTATTTTAATGTTTTTCCAAAATTATACTATAGTTCAAAGCCTCAAATATTTGTCTTCAATACATGGTATCATATACAGAGCATAAAGATTTTGAAAATCACTAAGAAGCAACTCATTAAAACCATTACTCCATCAATCACTGCTGCTTGATTATTATTACTGGTAGGTAATCAAGGCAGCAAAAAGCACAACTCTACTTAATATTTACTGAGCACATAGTGAAAAAATAAACTACCTATAAGTGTAGATGCTGTTCAGTTTTCAGTTTATTTTCTAATACTTTCAGTTATTATTTCTAACAATAATACTGAAATCATTAGAAACCACCCAGCAATGTAACTTATAAAACTGAACAACACCTACACTCATAGGCAGTCAGAAAAAAACAAAAAACAAAAAACATACCTGAATAAATGAAAAAGCTCTCTAGATGAATTAACTAATGCAGTTTCAGTAACCCACTGAATGCCAAATATTTCCACTGTATCCTCTTCAAAATTGGTTGGTAAAGGATCAAGATTCAAAATTAGCCTGAAATGAAAATTCTGATTTAATCTCATAAAAAGTATGCCCATATACTATATCAGGTCTTTCTTGATATTATATGAATTCGTATTATACATGACATACCAGAAATACCTTGGTACGTTACACATCTATGATTACTACTACACCTAGACTGCATTAAAGATGTAGTCATAGATAGTAATAAAAGAGTACAACTAAAGAACACTGTAACTTAGGGAGAAAAATCCAAAAAGAGCCTATGATAAAGGGCATTTGATTTTTCAAAATATAGCTAAAAGTTATTTTGAGCCATGTCTGGTAAATAGCATAATCAAATTGGGTCTCAAATAAGTATTCTTAAAATACTTCAAGAATATCAGTTCTACTGCAATATGCGCATACCTGCCTAACGTATCAACTTTGAAGAATATTTCTGTGAACTTATATAATCTGGTGCATTTATTAAAAAGTTGTTTTAAAAAGCTAAATCTATATAAGGTTTATATATGTATATGCATAGGTACATAGAGTTAGAAGGAACTGGGGCAACAAAAAATGTACATGGCTTACTTAAGACTTACTGAAAAGCTCTAGAATATTATCTCATTCTTTAGAAGAAACTGTCATTTCAAAAAGGCCAGGTAGTTCAGAATTCATTTAAGTAACTAGGAAATTAACATCCAACTCCGCACCTAAAAGCTGAGGTAGCAGTGAGGTAACAGAACATCAGTTATCAAGCAAGAAGTTCTTAATATCCAAAATACTTTTGGGTATCCTCTAACCAGGAAATCAACAACAGAATTAATATTAGTTTGCACCTGTGTTATATACTTAGCTGACTACAAAACACTGTTGGTGAAAATCAAAGTTTAACTGACCAAAATCGTAATTAAATAACATTCCTAACAAATTGATGAACAATCTGATCAGGGAAAAACCAAAAGTCTTATTTTTTTTACTTACCGCTTAAGGGCTCCGCTGGAAAGGTAGGACTCGCCAGAAAAACTTCTTCCTCCTCCTCTATTGTCAAAAGCACAAGAAAAGCAAGGGGGTTTGCACCATTCTGTCCGCAGCTCCAACTCGAAGCTGTCGGTCAGGGAAGTCGATGCAGCGGAACAGTTATCCATTGTTTAATTCACAGCCTGAAATGTTTGGGGTTAATATGATTACCATTACGTACCCGTTGCCATCCAGTCGATTCCGATTCATCGCGACCGTATAGGACAGAGTAGAATTGCCCCATAGGGTTTTCAAGGAGCGGCTGGTGGATTTGAACTGCCGACCCTTTGGTTAGCAGCCCAGCTCTTAACCACTGCGCCACCAGGGCTCTATGATTACCATTAGGGACTTCAAAAAGAACTTTTGAAGAAATTCCTGGAGGCGGGTCAGGCCGAGAGATTGGGGATTACACAGCCTCAGAAAGTTCCCAAAGAAGTAGGAATCCTGAAAAGCAAATAAGAAAACGTCCCTCCTCCCCGCACAAAGGGAAACAAAACAAAATCAAACGAGAAGCCAAATTCTCAACAATCCCTTCACCTGAAATTAAGGCTGTCAGAATGTAGACAAAATGCACCCTTGATTAGCTCTCGCAAGAGACTCAAAATCTGTCCCCTAGGTCAGACCCTGCAGCCCAGGGCAGTGGTGAAAAGGTTGGAGGGAAATGGTTGCAGGACAGATCCACGTTCAATCCCGAGCCAGCCTCGAACTGCACCCTCGCTACGTTACTAAATCGCACTGAGCCTGTTTCCCCGCAGTCAGTGGAGAAAGCTCCCACGCAGGCCCGGGGTGAGAATCAGAAGGACAGTGCCGCGCGCCGACCCCCGCACCTCCCCAGACTCGGGGACGAGTACACCCGGGCCCGCCGGACGAGAGGTGAGAGGAGCGATGTCCTACACAGGGCGGCAGCTGGACTCCTGGGGTGCTTCCTACCCACGGGACCCGTCTTACCTGCCCAGTCTTCCAGTTCCCAGGACCCGCCCCAGTGGCCCAGATCACGGTTCCAGAATCCGTGGGGTCCAAATCCGGAACAAGCAAAATTCCCGCCACGCTGCGCGCGCGCTCAGAAAGGGCGGAGTCACGGCGCAGCCGGCACCCGGGAGGCTGCAAGCTCGGAAGAACTCCGAGAAGGCCGCCGACGCACAGAGAGTTCTCGCGAGATACTGGCAGAACGGGACTGTCTACAGGGATACATTTTCGTTGTTGTTGTTGTTGGTACTGTTGATTGGTGCGTTTGTTTGGAAGGCGGGGCCTTGCTTGAAAACGAAACTGATACGGAGGCCGCCGAAAGGGGGCTGGGGAGGGGGGTCCGGGTGTCTCCCTGGAGCGGAGCGAAGGGAAAGAGCTTTGCGGAAGTGAGCGTAGCGCGGTAGTCTCTCTCACATCCCGCCTCTGCGCCACGTCTCCTCTGTCTCGACTGCTTGCAACACTTTTGTGGAGGATGTCTTCTGTTCCTGCCAGGCGAGTGCACAAGTCAGGCTAGTCCAAACCAAAAAAATCCAAACTCACTGCCGTGGAGTCGATTCTGACTCATAGTGACTCCGTAGGACAGAGTAGAACTGCCTTATAGGGTTTCCAAGGCTGAAATCTTGACGGAAGCACACTGCGACATCTTTCTTCCGCAGATGGGCTGGTGGCTTCGAACCACCGTTTGGTTAGCAGTTGAGCGCTTTAACTACTGCACTGCCAGGACTCCTGAGGCTAGTCCAGTGTTGGGAAACGAGAAGGTCGGGTGCCTCTTTCTTTCTGCGTAAAAACTTTTGTTCCCTGTCTTTGCAACATCTCTGGCCAGGTTTAGCGCCCTTTGTAAAGTTATAGCCTGTTTGCAACATTTTTTTCCATTTAAGTGCTGTTTAAAATCGACTCAAAAGACTTTCAGTCGTAAGTCAAACACATTTCATCGTATCACCGTCTTGAGATTCAAGAAAACTGTCATAATTTTTAATTCAAGTGTCCTGTAATTTGAGTATTGGCGATTGCCCATTCCTTCACGATAATTTGCCTAACGTTCAATTCGCGCATAAGGAACCTATCATAACTCTTTGTTGTGTTCAAACCAGATACAGCACATTTTCTAACAGCTGGGCTGGAATAGGGAAGAATGGGAAAAAAACGGTAAAGACCCCAACCTAGAGCCATTGGGAAGGATGTTATTTATTAACCTGCTGAGCAGATGTACGTTGAGTGCAGACGTTTTGTGGGAACTACTGCTCTGTGCAGTGCTTAAGAGCTGCAGCTGCTAACCAAAAGGTGAGCAGTTCAAATCCACCAGCTGCTGCTTGGAAACCCTGTGGGGCAGTTCTACTCTATCCTATAGGGTCGCTACGATTCTGAATCCAGTAGATGGAGGCAGGGTTTTTTTTTTTTTTTCTTTTTTTGGTTCTGCTGCTCATATATGGCCCATGTGGAGTCTCTAACATGGCAGGTAGTGTCATCCACCACGACAATCCTGAAGGATTAATGCCTAGATCATGAGAATATTGTGCCCTGGCATTGATTTTGAGAGAATGGAGTCAACAGATAATCATCATCACATTTTCCTGTAATCGAAACATCCAAAAAAATAGACCCTTTTTTCTGCTTATAAGTGCCTGAGGTTGAATGATCAGTTTGGTTAAATCCAGTGATGGCATAGGAAGAACAAAAATAGGCTCTCTAAATAATTTAAGCTAGTACAAGAGTGGCATTGAACATGTGTTACATTAGTCAGTATCCTTAGCAGTTAACAGATGGCATGCTCAAGATCAGTGATTGAAGGGTATTAGTGAAAAGGCAATTTACAAAGGCCTGGACAGAGTTACTTGAAAACAGAAAGTGATGGTGAAGCACCCGGGGCTAATCAGAGCCGTTATCACCCTGACCTAAGAGGAAGGAGGGATTACCAGAGTACATGGAGACCATTGCTGTAGGATAGTCACCTGAAGGAACTGATGCCTTTACAGAGGAACCCGCTGCCAACCTGCAGCTCAGCAGGGAGGGAGTTACTTTAAGTACCGAAACGTTCTTCCCCTCCATTCTCCAGTGTCCAGCTGGTATCTCTTATTGGCCAAAACCAGCCTAAAAACAAAGGGCAAATATGCAGTGTATAAAGTTCTGACTCCTGGAGTAAAGTCCAGGTTGAAGAAGGTTAGAGAGTGAATTTGGCAGAAAGGGGTTATAACAGTCCTAAATGTGTATATAGTGTATATATCTAATAACAGAACTTAAAAATACATAAAGCAAAAAATACTACTGGTTGGAGTGCATCTTCAACAACACTATCAACTATCAACCAATTTGACGTAATTGAAATTTATAGGACATTCCACCCAACAACGGAAGAATATATACTCTTATTTTAAATTTATTTTATTTTTTGTTGGTAATGTTCAGAAATACATAGCAGAACATACACCAATTCAACAATTTCTACACGTGCAGTTCAGTGACATTGCTTACATTCTTCAAGTTGTGCAACCATTCTCACCCTCCCTTTTTTAATTGTTTCTCCCCCAAGTTTTCTATCTAATCTTTCTAGTTGTTCTTGTCAATTTGATCCCATGTAGATAGTTCTTAAAAGAGCACAGTGTTCAAGGCAGACAGTCTTTACTAGTTAAGCTGAATTATTGTTAGATTTTAAGAAGACTTCATAGGTATTTTCTGGTTTAAGGTTTACAGATTATATCAGGACAATAATTTGGGGAGTTCTTCAGATTCTGTGGCTCCAGAAAGTCTGGATTCCATGGGAATTTGAAATTCTGTTCTACATTTTCTCTCTTTTAATCAGAATTCTATAGAATCTTCGATCAAAATATTCAGTAATGGTACCCAGGCACCATCCAGTTCTTCTGATCTCATGGCAAAGGAGGCAGTTGTTCACTGGGGCAATTAGCCATAACTTCCATTTCCTCCTCCTATTCCTGACTCTTTCCTCTGTTGCTCCAGGTGAATAGAGACCAATTGTTATACCTTAGATGGCCGCTTGCAAGTTTTTAAGACCCCAGGCACTATGCAGTGAACTAGGAGATAGAATAGAAACACTAAGCATGGTATTAGGCCATTTTACTGGGATGCCCCATGAAACCATGACCCTAAACCACCAAACCAAGAAACCAAAACCCATGAGGTGTTTGGTTGTATATAAGCAGCCTCGGCAGCTGCTCTTGTTTTTGTAAATATATCTGTTATGGATTGAATATATTCCAAAAAAATATGTGTAGTAAATCCTAACCCCTATACCTGTGGTTATAATCCCATTTGGAAATGGAGTTTCTTGGTCATGTTAAGAGGCCATATCAGTGAAGGGTGTGTTTTAAGCCAATCACCTTTGAGATATAAAAAGAACACATTAGGCATAGAGAAGTAAACATAGTTGGGGAAAGATAGATACCACACCACATGAAAATCACCAACGAACCAAGGAACAAGGAACTTCCTCTAGAACTGACACAGAGCAGAAGACTTCCACTAAAGCTGGTACCCTGAATTCGATTTCTAGCCTCCTAAACTGTGAGAAAATAGATTTGTTTGTTAAAGCCATCTACTTGTGGTATTTCTGTTACAGCACCACTAGGTAACTAAGACAGAATTTGGTACTGGGAATGGGGTGCTGCTCTAACAAAAACCTACAATGTGAAAGTGGTTCTGGAATTGGGTAATGAGTGGAGGCTGGAAGAGTATTATAAGGTGCCTAATAGTATAACAGCCTAGATTGCCTTGAAACTGTTGGTAGAATTATGGATGTGAAAAACAATTCTAACGATGGCTCAAAGGAAATGAGGAGAGCCAAAGACAAAGTCTCTGTTGTCTTAGAGAATACCATATTTTTATGCAAATAACGCGTGCCTTCTATGTTTGTTTGCCACCTGCACCCTCCCCTGGTGAGGTATTTTCATAAGCACCATTGTGATCGTTAAGGTTATGTGTCAACTTTACTGGGCCATGATTCTCAGTGGTTTGGCAGTTTTGATGTAGTTTAGCAGCCATATGATGATTGTGATCACTTCCATGATGAGATGTGATACAGTGTGATCACCTCATGATGGGATCTGCTGTGAGTAGCCAGTCAGTTGAAAGGGAGTTTCCTTGGGGGTCTCGTCTGCATCAAATATAAGTGGACTTCCTGGCAAGGCTCGTGAGCTTTTGCTTGCTCTGGATCCTGCAGCTGGCTACTGTTTGTCTGACCCCCGGTTCTTGGGCTTGAGCTAGCAGCTTACCTGTGGTCTTGCCTGCCAATCTTGGGATTCATCAGTCTTCGCAGACAGTGAGCAAGAGCCTTGCTGTCTGACCTGCTGATCAGGGGTTTGCCAGCCCCTGTGGCTACATGAATCAAGAGAAGCCTCCAGCCTGACCCACAGATTTGGGACATTCCAGCCTCTACAACCACATGAGCCATTTCCTTGCTATAAATATCTCTATATAGATATTTGTATGCTTCACCGGTTTTGCTTCTCTAAAGAACTCAGCCTGAGCCAGCCTCTATGCCAGTTTTTTTTTACATGTTGCTGTAAAAAAATTAGCATAGTGCACTTAGGAAAATACTTCGAGGAGGGAGAATGTGGTTGGCAAATGTAGAAGGAGTGCATTATTTGTGTAACAATATGGTACATATGGGGCCATCAACAGAATATTGTTAGACATGTGGATGTTAAATGTGCTTCCGATGAGGTTTTAAAAGAAAATGATGAACACGTGATTGGGCAATGGAGGAACGGTGATGCTTTTAATACAGTGGCAAAGAACTTGTCTAAATTATGTTCAAATGTTTGGTGGAAGGTAGAACTTGTAAGTGATGAACTTGGATACTTAGCTGAGGAGATTTCTAAGCAAGATCTTAAAGGGCTAGCATGGTTTCTTCTAGCTGCTTATGATAAAATGTGAAAAGAGATAGACTTAAAAATGAACTGTACAAAATGAAAACAAAACTTAAAGATTTGGAAAATTTCGTACAAACTAAGGACTCATATCCTAGAATTTTCACCAAGGACATGGCTACACAATCTTTTGTTAACAAGATTAAGCCTTTAACATGATGGATCTAACCAGCTACCACAGCAGAAAACCCATCAGCTTACGCTGAAGGGGCCAGAGGAAGGACAAAAGGAAAGAAGGCTGTTTGCCTCTTGGAATTTTACAGGCAGGAAACAGGCCAAAGGAAGTACATCTTTTGTCTTCCAAGGAAAGAAAAGGGCCATTCCTGGAGAAGTTTGGAGATCAGTAGAACTGTTGGAAGGAGCATGGAAAGCAGGGTTGACTCAGTTTCAAAGGGTAGAGCCACGGTCTCCA